ATTCTATTTAATAAGACAGTTGATTACCTTGTTGTGATAACAGCAGTACACTAAATCAATATCCTCCAGTCGAGCCTGCAGTTTAAGACCAGCAGAGTTGCAATGACAGCAGTTGTCGCTGGAGATGTGCTCCAGGCTGGGACGAAAACATCCACAACACCTTAAAAACAACAGGATGCAATGGTTACTTACAATTTTATGTTAACATACAAATTCAGTTTACTGGTACTCCTTACCATTCTTGTAGAACTTTTAATTGAGATAACTAGAGCGGTTTTTAATTGCTCTGGTTTTGCACCGTTATGCTAAAGAATTTGCTTTAAAAACTCATGCTGCTTTCTCGCCAATCAGAAGTAAAACCAAAGTCAATCATGACTCACTGGCACACATTTTCCCGCGCTTCGCGTCAGCTACATGTCTGTGCTTTGAATTTTGATTGGTTCACTGCATTGCCTGTATTATTTTTGATTGGCTAGAGTGTTTGTCCTGGTTTTAGTTTCAGGACTCTCAATTGAAAGCTGCGCTACAGTGTACATCCTAGCCATTGCAGTCGAACCCTTTTTAAGGGGGCAACCACAGGATCCTATGAAAATGCCCATATCTAAGACATCCTTACTTACAGTGTAGTAGAGAAAACGTATGAGCTAGGGACCAAAATTATTTTCTGTAATGATGAGGTATCTGGCCTTAAACAAGTTTCTGTAACGCGAGATTTGACAAACAGTTCTTTTAATCTTATCACCTGTACAGGAAGTATTATTTTGCATGATATTTTGAGACTGGACTCTAATAAATAGAGGCGAAAGAAGTTTAAGTTATTTTTGTTTGCCTTACTGACATGCACCAGAACTTTCAATCAATTTACTGGAAGCTAATAGAGGTCAGCATTCAAGTCCTGATGTCAAGATTCAAATTCTCTTTTGCTGGTCTCCAAACATTACTTTGTACTGACTTACAGGAGAAAAATTAATACTTACATAAATCAACACTTTATCTACTAGAGATCAAGTTGTGTATTCTCCTGGTCTTACTGTTATTTGCATTTTGATGTTGTGAGGAGAATCAAGATATCAATAATAGTTCCACCAAAGTCCAACCCCTTGTCCATGTC